GAAAACGGTGCATCTGCACTATCATTTGAAAACACAAGTTGGACAGACCAGCCAACAAAACTGCCTGCAAGTCTATGTAATAGATATCACAGGGCTGAGGTAACTGATAAACAATTTCCAACAGGCCTGGTCTGACTGATAACAACTTGGTTTAACTGATAAAACAGGGTAGGGTAACTGGAAGATTAAATTCTTCTGATACTAAGTGATAGGCTGGATAGTTTGGTGGTATGTTATGGTGATTACTCAATAAATTTGAACAGAATGAATTGATCATATGTCCATTCCCCCACCACCCCCCCTAAAAAAAAAAAGAAAGACAGAAAGAAAGAAAGAAAGAAAAAATGTTTTGTTAATAATACTTTATATTGCATATTTCAAGATTTGAAGAGTTTTGGATTCATGTCAAATATAAACTAATGTAAGTGGATAAGAAGGGTAAACCTCAAAAATGTTTACAAATATTAGAAAAAAAGAAGTGTTTGAAAATTCCAAGTTATCTATTACCATATCTATTTGTTTGATATTGATAATTTTAAAGCAATGATCTGTATTATAATAATACCAACAAAACCTTTCCACAAACCAACTAATAAAATAACCCCCGACACATAATACAAAGAAATTGTATACTGTAGTCACAGCTTACCTTTAATAATATATATCAACTTCATACACTGTTTTCAACATTACTTAATGAGAAAAAAGCATTTCTGTACGTTTATAACCTGAAGGCTACGACTAATAAAATATCACTCAGGAGGCATGCAATAGCTTGATCAACGTACTAAGGCTCTATTCCCATAGATTTTAGATCGATCTATCCCCGCGGGGAGTCTCACTAGATTACTTTCAGATAATCCGACTTAAATGTCCGTCCCGCCTACTACAAGCTGTAAGGGGGTAATTAACTTTCGTGTCCGCCCGGCTGACAGCTATTTAGCGTGAACCCCCAGGGAGTTAGGTCGATCTAAAGTAGGTCGATCTAATCTATGGAAATGGGGTGTAATACTAGTATGTGGCTGTACAGTGTACATATTGATATAAAAATATTTCCAATATTGACAACTTGTAAGCATGTGCATTTTCATAACTGGCTTTAAAAATCTCAGTAAGAGAAGATGGCTGAAACATTCTCTCTGCTCAGTGGTATTCAGTGCTATAAATCTTCGTAATGCGTTTCTTATTTGGGTAACAATTCTATCCCTGCGGACGCTTTGAAACTGCAAACATTTCTGAATTGCTATTTCCATCTGTGTCTTAATGAAATGAGAGACAGTGAATTGCCCAATGCAATCATAAATCACGACATAATACAGTGATAACCAGGCCAATAAAAAATGCAGGGATTTCCGCAAAGCATAAAGTTTCTCCTTAATGATGCATATGCATGAGAGTTCTAAAAATGAATATCCTTAAAACGTAGCTTGCAATTTCTCATCACATTTAGACCCTGTGAAAAAAGTGATCAAAAGAGAGACTGAAAATCCTGAAATCAGGCATAATCCTGAAAACCATCACTCATGAATGAAGGTTACAGTACACAAATACTGTACTTTTTCCACTGGGTTCCTTGTATCATAATAATGCATTTAAATGTTTCAGAAGACAAATCTCAGGTACCATTAAAGAGCATTTATATATAAATAATAGAGAGGTGGCTTACTTCATAAGCTGCTTTATGTTCATCATAACACAAAATGTTAAACCTCACAAAATTGATAAATCCTACAACAAATCTTCACCTTAAATACAAATCACCCATACTAGTACATCTATCAGTTGGCAAACGATATATATCTTCTAGATATAACATCTTCTACATATCGGGCCATTATCTGACCTGATTGTAAAATATATGTGCAAGTCTTTGACTAGGGGTGAACATGATATTGACAAAGCACAAACTCTATCAGTCATGGGGGTATCAGATGTGCGCAGGGATTAAGGTCAACCACATCACCTCCGCTACAGGGTCTTCCCAGCCGTGGGCTGTCCTGGGTTTTAACTAGGCCATGATATATTTGTTATAAAGTTTAAACAAAATCCAAGTAAATTTGGCGTATAAAACAGTAGACCCCTGACAACTGGGACATTACTAGTACTGTTACAATACTAGTAGTTATAAATCTTATCACTCGAATTATAACCATTTGGCTTTAACTTGAACGGATAACAACTCTTCGTATGAGATTTATACTTCGCAAATACATTGTAAACAACTCATAGTAATACACATATAATTTATAAATTCTATTTCCACCAAAACAGCAGTTATCGCAATTATTCTGGCATATCTGTACTTGCAATCATAAGCCACATGGACCTTCACATATGGCTATATCTCTGTAATTATCTCTTACTACAAAAAACTCAAACTTTTTAGAAAAAAAAAACTTAACTTTCATTTGAATGTGGGAATGAATTTACCAACAACAGGTATGGGAAATCATCATATACCCAGGGAAAATCAATTTTTTGGCCAAACAGTTCCTTTTCCCCAAGTCAAATAGAGCAGTTATTATTTTTTATCATAATCACTTTTTTCCTAGCAGTAATCAATACTTGGGTGTGAGTCTGTCTGTACTGGATGACTGCAAATATATACAGATACCGTTATATATTGCATTTTTATCTTAACAGGTGCATGATGAACCGGACACACGCATGCACACACACACACACACACACACACACACACACACACATTGTAAACCATATTATAATGAGAAGAACTTTGACATAAAACAGTAACTAGTAACCGTTTCCTGAGTATAGATGGCCCTACATCGACTGAGTCAAATTATCACTTATCTAGAAGAAAATCTTTTGGGGGATGATTTTTTTCCATTTGGCACTACACTATATCTGTAATCAATATGTATATTGTTTAACTCGAACCTTCACGCAACTAGAACAAATTTAATTTACATTGTACCAGTGCCAATGAGTATAAGTCACTTGTCCTTTAGCTACTATATTTTCGTTTAAACTATAAGTTTACATTTCCAAATTACGAACCCGATCACTTAAGTACCATGAAATAAAAAATACATACTAGTACATTTTCATACTTCACATTCTCTTCTAACAAATAAAAACATGTTATTAGACTGTGAATTACAGTTTATTAACATCAGATTAATCCATACATATATTACATCATATATATATATATATTGAATTATGTTGTTGGATGAACCAGTTGACAGACCTTAATTGATAGTCTACCTAAGAATACTATAACTATAGTTCTATACCGTCCTGTACCTTACTGTAGCGTATCGTAGTCTACCATTATACTACACATGGGGAAAGACTTAGTGGGTTTAAAAAAAAACAGAAAAAAGCATAGAAAATATAAGAAACTTCAAACAGCTAAAAAAATGAAAACTTCCTTGTTCTCTTAAAAAATTGCCAGATGTGGAAAGAGATACCTTACACACCAAGCAGTTAAATAAACTTCCTTCTTACTGATTCTGCAGTATAATTTGCTTTGAACTTACAGCCATAAGTGATAAGCAAGTGGAAAGCAAAGTGCACCTGGTTTCAGAAAAAAATTCTCCAGACTCTCTCTCTAAACATAAATAGCCTTACTACTTTAGGGAGCGCAGGGAATTCCCACTTTGCGTATTTTAATCTTTTTTTCAGGAAGGAAAGGCAAATACTAGTATATTCAGCAATTTGTGTACAAACCTTTGATCATGAACTAACATTTTCAGTCGTAGATTGACTAATTGTGAAAGTCAGACAATGCAATATTGTACAGAATTTCGAGTCAGTCCCTACACGAATTTTGCCTTCTACAGTATGTGAATTATATGTATCTACAGGTAAATCTCCAGTATTTACAAAATGTGCTAAGCAAATATTACCTGGATTAACACTGGGAAACATTACACTGTAATATTCTCTTTTTTTAATCAATAAACATAATTCATTCAAGTACTGACCATGTACATGTAAACATTAACTGTACACCAAAGGTTGAGGACAGCTAAAACACCATCAGAATTGAATTTAAAGTCATGGAATTTGATCTTGATTCTGCGAAAAAAGCCCAGGCCATGTCTGTAAATTGGATACTGGGAACGGAAAGGATTTTGTGGAAACACCTGCTTTCACATTGCACTGGAGTCCAATGTGTTAATTATGAGGTTTTCATCAAAACAACTTAATTCTAACTGTTTTATAACAATAACAAGTATAATATCTTATGATTTCAAAGGTCAGATCTTTTTAACTACATGTACGGGTGCGGACTGAGGTTGTCTTCTGGGTCTTCACGTAGACGGTCAGATTTTCAAGTCTGCACTGAGGGGTATCTATTTTTTCTGTCGGAAGATGGTCAAAAATGGAGGATGGATCAACAAAGATAATTCGGAAGACTGTCAGAAAATATCTATGGGTCCGCCCCTGATATATGTATGCTCTATTTTATACTGTGACAAGCAGCAACCTTCACCCCCCCCCCCCCCAAAAAAAAAAAAATAAATAAATAAATAAATAAATAAAAGATATAGAGATACGTACAGTAAGTGTATCAAAGGTGATGATGCAATGACATTTCCCTTCAACTCTCCTTTTCAATATCCACAATGAAGCTGTTTATCTTCAACTAAATGTCGTCAGAATGTGTTGTGCATGCAGTGACATTAATTAAGTCAGGAACACATTTTTAAACTTAAAAGTCATTGGTTTATCGATGTCAATCTCCGGCCGTTTACCATAATTTGTCTTACATAACAGGGACGAAAATTATTTACAACGGCCTTAACCATTCATTGTACCAAAACACTGCAGTGCCTCCAAATAACCCCTTAACCAAAACAATATTACAAAGACATCAATTGCGAGTTGTTTATTTTGCTTCGTGCGCACTTGATATAAATCTATCTTTTCAGCCAAAGCTCCCCTTAAACACAAACGCTGACAAAAAGAAAAAGTTGTGTTGTCTAGATATTGCATATTAATATTCAACTAATAATAGAATGACCTACCGGTGGCAAAGTCAGTTGATCGGAGAGGTATTGCGTGAGCTTCAAATGCCACTATACCTGTCCGTCTTCCTTGTTTACTGAAATACACGTTTGTAAACGGAAGTCAAGGTCATCGTTGGCGCAACTACCGCAATTAGTTGAGGCGGTGCAACTAACACAATTTTACTTTTAGGTTTTTCCCTTATGGACTCTCCGAAAATTCAATCCCCCCCCCCCCCCCAAAAAAAAAAAATAAGAATTATAATTATCTTTATGTTTATTGTTATAATTTAATGTAATACCTAGAACTACCGATTTTAAAAATATTTATTTTGAGATAAAATATAGACTAGCCTTGTTACTTACGGGTAAAGAAATAGCTCAAAGTCAGATTGGAAAAATTGACACGTCTACTGTATTTTAATATTTTATATTAAAATAACAATTCATTAATTCATACATAGTAATGATAGTACATAATCTTTTCATTAAATTTTATAGTGGTTAAACTCATTGTTGTTTATCATTAGTTTATTATTATTATTATTTATCAAACACTAAATCTATTACAACTTTCAAATTCAGATTGACAAAGTTCTCTTCTCACATCTTTCAACATTACAATCCTGCATTGAGTTTATTTTACAACTTAAATAGACAAGACATAATAAACTGGGCAAATACAAGTCTTGTTAAAGAAAATTGATTTATTCACTTCTTTATATCAAATTTTCACATTTTGGACCTTTTTTCAATGTAGATTTGTTAACAAACGGTAAGTTGAACTTTGCAAGATATTAATCAATTTAGCAAGCACTAATTAATTTTGCAGTCAAACTCATCTTTAAGCAAAAGTTAACCAAGAAGACAGATTCAAGTTTATACTCAATATTTTCACCTTTTGACAGATAGGAACCCTTGCATGGAGAAACATCTTTAGGTGTTATGTTAAAACTTTATTGACCACTTTCAAAAATAAATTTTTAAGATACATTTTCAGTTTTTTTTTTCTGCTTAGGACTTTAAATATTCTCAAAATAATAAAAATAATAGTAATGATTATTCAGCTGATTATATGCATACGAGATATAGAAAAACTGCCAACTTAAATACTTTAATCAACAGGTGAACTGACATTACATGTCAAATCACAAACAATTCGGCTGACAGCTAAAAATTCATCAGCTGTCTTATCTGCTCAAAGTCATAAGTTTCTCCAAAGGCCTATTAAGCTTGAGACCGATTTCCACTTCAAAATTTCAAGGTTTAGCAATAATTTCATGTAAATAAATAAAACAAGAGGTGGGGTTTTGCAAAAACAAAATTTCATTTTTCATTTTTAAGCTATTCGTATATCTGGCACTTGGCCAAATGTTATATATGTGAACATAATAAATAATTTAAGATCTAAGGACAGATACTTCCTTACCATAACAGTTAACTTTTAATTGGCTATTCACCACAGACACTTTTTTTCTGTATTCACAGCGTAAGACAATTGCCTTCAAGGATCTGGTCACTTAAGTGCCTACGAACCATAAGGTTCTGAAACCAAGATTCTTTGCGAGGACGGTTTAAAACCCCAGGACATCTGAGGCGTGCAAACAGAGCCACCAGCCATGTCAACTCAACACGAGGTCCAGCCGTGTCAAAAGTTCTTAGAATTGTTCAAAATGGCTTTCAGTTCTTTTCAACAGCAATATGTTCAAGATAATTAACAGTTCTCTACAGCATTCCTTCCCAACATTTTCTCATAATGCTCTTTAATTCTTTAAACCAGTCACGTAAAAAAGCTGTCACGAAGATTTACAAACGGGGTCATCTCAGAGAGGAGTGGGAAGAACCGCTTGTCCCAGCAAACTGGATGATTTTCACAAAAGATACACAAACATGTCAACGCAAACTCCATGTTATTCTTGGTGCATTTCCAAATTGAAAATGACACCATCAATGGAAGTCAAGCATTAAATGGCTTTGTCAAGAATAACAGGCCATTTCTGCTGATACCATCCAAGCAAGCGATGATAAAAACTCCCTTTGCAGTTCTTGTTACCAGCAAAGCTCAGCTGTGCTCTAGTCAGTTCATAATGATCTGTTTAATGTTTTCATGTGTGGTGTATTATAAAGACGTCACTGAAATCTTCAAAATCGTCCCGACTTCTCAGCTACACGCCTGCCTACAAGTAAATGACAAAGAAGACAAAGTTCATTAGTGTATTTATGCTATCAGATCAAAATTTTCAACCGTCAACAATACCTGCAGAAGTATATTACGTACAGATATGTTACCAGTACTTATATCTTATGATCAAGTTTACAAACTTTCGTTGAAAATATAGCATTTCTGGTGTATGTGGGCCATTCATACATTTGTGACTCAAAGCAACTCAAATTCATTCATTACTGCATCATTCATGCAGCTTGCCCAGCTACCTCAAATTAAGAACATCCAGGGTTAATTAATTCAATATTTCATTAATTGAAGGGACACAATTTGGATTTGGAAATTATTCTAGGAGCATGAAAAACTTTTTAAACATAAATTGACAGATAGATAGCCTTAATCAAAACTGCAAAAAGTAACCATATTCACCATCACCTGTTCAACATCAGTAGCCAGCTGTTCTGATAACACCGTGCTTAAGCCCAGGTTTTGTTTTTTCACTTTTTTCCAAACTTGTTACAGAGTAATGGCCAGTGTCAGAAAAGGAAAATTAAAGGTTGTTAAGTCGGGAGGAAAATGCCCTTTCACCTTGGGGAAAATTTGCTAAATAAGAATTTTTGAGGAAAAATCCTGGTTTGTGTCCTTTAATTTTAATCCCTCATACCATTACCTGTGTGCCCCAAGATATGTAATCTGGTTTTGTGGCTGCCTGGTATTCCTCCACCAGTTGCTGCAGAACTTCTCGGGAGGCGTCAAACTCGTCCAGGTTGTCTTTGAACATTTCAGTCTTCTTAAACTGGTCCAGAAATGCCTCTCGTTTCCTCAGTTTGTCATACTGGCTGAGAGTACGGGAAAATAACTGGAAATATCATGAACAATTAATTAATTTATTCTATTTATTTATTTATTTATTTTGGGGGGGGGGGGGCTGGAAAGGGGAGGGGGTGGGTGAGGAGGGGGTGTAAGCAAGCATCTACCTTCTTACCTTAAAAATAGGACAATGTAATTAAATATCTGAACAACTCTTGAGAAACTGATTCTATTCATTTAATTTGTTCCTCAAATAAATATTAGCATGACCTAGGCTAACTCCAATCTTCCTGTAAAAATTAACAAATTTTCTGGTTTCAGAGTGAAGGAGTTATGGGGAGTTCACTAACTTTTCACTAACTTTTTGTCAGGTAAAAGAGTGGATTTTATTAGTTATCCAGTAGAATAAGAATGAGAAATATGTATAACTTTGATACTGGAAACTTACATTAAGCAACTGACCAACGTTGCTGAGACCCAAGACCTTTCACTAGATAACTGACCTGGATGTAATGGTCACCTAATCTATTGTTTATCCTGGTCATTTACTTAAGTGAAAGGTCTCAGGTTGAAATCACAGCGTCGGTCAGTTGATAAATTTAAGTTCCATTATCAGGGTTATACATAGTTCTCATTTTTGGTCAGGTACTTACTGAAGATATACTCGTATGATTGGCCATCATGAGGCCGCTGACTCTGTTGGCAGACTGGATATATGGCGACTTCCGCGACAGCGCCACCTGGATGCTGGCAGGACCCCAGGGGATGAACTGGGCCAACTTCCGCTCTCGAATTCTTTGTAAACTTTTGTGGACCTAATGAGTGAAAAGGAGCATTTTAGGGAAGCTTAGTATATATAACGACAATTATAAAACAAAAATTTATTTTAATTGCTCTCTCTGTTATGTAAAAACACTGACACAATGAATACGCTACAAAAGATCATTTATTCTATGAAAGCTTTCCAAGACTAAGTTACATTGGGAAAGAGGAAGAGGAAAAAGAGCAATTTATAAATGCCAACTGCTACTGACAATAACATTTCATTAATTTACATACAAAGTGATTTTTTCATAAATAACTTAAACACAGAAAGAGATATATTTGTAAATAGGTAAGGACTTGGAACTGGAAAACTACAGTAACCATACATGAAACACAGTAGGAAATCTTTTTTTTTTTCTTTTTGCATAACTGCCACACTGTTATCACATTACCTGTGTGGGGTCCACCTCTCCCTGTATGATATTCAGTATAGAGATGTAGCAGTGATTGGCTTGTCTCTGGACAGGAGTGGACACCATCATATTCTTGGGTTGAAGTAGCCTTCTCATCACATCTAGCACTGTGGTCTTACGGACACTGGCAGTCTGAATATAATATTTTTTTTAATTACAAAAATAAAATAAAATAAAAATAAATAAATAAAGTTGCTGGAAGTCTGAAATGATCTGTTACATCTAAAATAAATGCCGCGTAAAGTTCTAATTTAAATCTTTTTCATTTCCCTCTTTTTTATCTTAAAACCTTTATAGAAGAGACTAGACAGAGTCAAAGAACTACAGAATTATCCTTCTCAATCTGTGACATTTACTCATCTGTTTACAGTATAGTACTGTAAACAGACTACAGTATTTAATTCCATTAATAAATATTGATGGATTATTCACCAGTCATATACATGTGCTATTTAAAATGACAATAAATAAATCAATCCATAAATAAATAAATAACTTACTTGTGAGTCTGTGGCGAGAGGTGTGTATCCTGTCATCAGGAAGTGAAGTCTGGGCGTGGGAATTAGAGATGCAATCAGACCAATCAGATCATTGTTCATGTAACCAGGGTATCTTAAGGTGGTTGTGCTGGCCGACATCACCGTGGAAACCTGTAAAAAGAGAGCATGATGCATTCATCTGTTTTATGTCTCTTCATCATTTCTCAATTGAATCACTGATTTTCATTTTTCAAATTTGGCTACAGATAAGGGTTTTCCCAGTGAACATTTGAACGGCCACCAGCATCAACGGATAGTCTATGTTTTCAAAGACAGCTGGGTCAACAGCTTATGGCTTATGAGACTCCCTGAAATTTTGTAAGGTGGTAATTTTGGACGGCCTGTACATCCAATCTTTGTCGACAGATCGTATCAATTTTCACTTTATACTTGTATGCATAAATATGTCAATAAACTCATTTTTATTATTATTATTAGTTGAACTATCTTTTTCCATTCAAAGTCCTCATGAGGAGAATGCAACATCATCCCTGACATACTTATCATTTATTGAAAGAAGTCACAAAACAGAGTTATTTGAAATACAAAATTTCAGTGTCTCACACCCTCAAATACTTCTCAATTTAGCTATTATTTCCAAAAACTCATTGCAACTTTTTCTTTTCAACTTTGAAGTCTTTGCTTGTGCTTACCAACTGATTTATGTGGGCAAAATTTGGCGTCTCAAGATGGAGTCTCTCGGCAGCAATTCTGTGTAGAGCTGTGTTATCAAGAACCACGACGCAGTCTGCATTCTGTGTTAGTCTCTTCAGAGTGAGCAACGAATTGTACGGCTGAACTACCACATCGGACGTCTCTTCTTGGTTTGGGAATACGGAATAGGTTTGGATGAGCTTCTTTGGAAATCTGGCAATGTCAAAATGGATTAGAGGTTAAAAATTACAGTATGAAAATGCGAAGAAACAGATCTGTTGTCTCTTGTGAAATGATAGTGACAAAAATAGTACTTTCTAAGGAAACTGAACGTGATTTTAACTAGATGTGGGAGGAAATATTGATCCTTCATCAAAGCACCTTTATCATTAGGCTGATTCAGCCAAGTGAGGTTTTTTTTTCCTCAAAAAGATAATTTAAGTATCTTTGGGGACAACTTACCTTTTTACCAATATCAAAAAGGACAGATGATTAATCCTTACAACATCAATATGGATTAAAACCTTACAAAATCCTATCTAAAACCTTACAAAATCATACCTGTCGTTAAGTCTCTCCAACAGATATGATCCCATGCCAGACCCAGTACCTCCAGCAATGGAATGACACAGGATGAAACCCTGAAAAGATGTTAATAATTAATTAAACAATAAACATAAATTTCAATACATGAATAATATAAATGTACAATTCCCAAAATACTTATATATGAATAAATAAATGAATAACTACATAAATAAACAGTTATAAGTAGATTAAATGTAGCACTGGAAAATGGGTAGCAAAAGCAGCCAAATGTTGAAAGCTGGGCCAGTATAAGAAGTCCAACATCAGGGTCTGCTCAGTTGACAAAAAAAAAAACATTCTCTCAGGAAAATAAAAATAACAATATTGTTTGCTAAACAAAATCAAACAGGAAGTAAAACTGAGAGAGAGAGAGAGAGAGAGAAAGAAAGAGACTGTACCTCTAAGCTGTCACTGCCATCAGCTTCTCTGTCAATGATGTCAAACACTTCTTCATACAGTTTTTCACCCTACAAAAGAATAATAATCAATCATATTTCACCTTAATAAGTTGGATTCATTCTTTCAAAAATTAATATTTATTTCAAAGAATTTTCTCTCTGAATTTGCTAACATTTTTCTATTTTGAGGTTTCCTGGGGGGCATTACTCTCTTTACCTGAGCAAATCCACTAGCCCAGTTATTGCCTGCCCCTCCTCCATGCTTGGCAGTGAACACATTCTCTGGGTTGTAAAGGTTGGAGTAGGGAGAGTTCATGATGGTATTGATCACCCTGGGCTCCAGGTCCAGCAATACTGCTCTGGGAATGTAGTGCTCATCGTCAGCCTGGAATATGCAGAAATGATATATAATAGGCCATAAAATATTAATTCACACATGGCAAAACGTCTTTCTAAAGGTATTGCAGGCTGTGCCAAACTTTTGCTGGCTCAAATTATTATTATAATATTATTATTTTTTTATTTACTATTTTTTTTTTTTTTTGAAGTTCATTGTGTACACGGTGTATGTATTAGGGTATAAAGGTATACAGATTCCATGGTTCATTGTGTGTAGGGGCCTCTCTTTGCTTTACTGTATATTTGACTAAAATTTATTTGAGGAACTTTTGTACAAAAAATTTAAATTTAAAATTAAAATAGAAGTTAAAATTTTCAACTTCTACAGGCACAGTATTTTACCTGGTAAAAGAACACATCTTTTCTGTCTGTACCTTCAGTTGCATATTCCTCTAAAATTCCCTCTGAAGACATAAAAACATAAATTAACTGGTCATTCCTTCAAAATAACACGCTATATTGCATGAAGGCATTTTTTAATTAAAATATTTCCTGTAAACTCTCCATCCTATTCTGATACAACTTCAACCTTTTGGTTGCTATGTTTTTAATAAATGTATTACTATATTATTATTATTTTTCCAGCTTAAAATCATGTACTTACCTGGACTTATGCCATGTTCTGCACATAGCTGTTTCCAAAACTCCATTCCAACTAAAAAAAATTACAAATAAATACAATGAATAAAAAATAATAATGTTACAGCGATAAAACATTTGTCTAAAGATTTGTCATGGGGGATATAGAACATTGTGAACTCAATGATCTTAATGTTTACTGCCAAATATAAGCAACATTGTAGGTGGTTTATAATTTTTCTATAACCATTCTAGCTCTGAGAACTGTCTTAATTTTAATTTTACATATTATATTTCAGGAACCATATACAGTGGCAATGTTGTATGATGCAAATATGTATTCAGAAGTACTTGGGACCCTATAAAAGAATCTGATGTTTGGGAATCAGTATCCCCTCCCCCTTCCCCCCCCCCCCCCTCCCTCCAATCAATGATAATCTTAGGCTTCGTTCACATGCAATGTCTATTTTCTATTTTCTATTTTCTATTTTCGGTATGTCTTATGATCACGGTCTGTGCACTGAATATCCCGCCGCGTAATTACTGGCAGCGCGAGCCAGTTACTTATAGTAACTTATAGTAACTGGCTCGCGCTGCCAGTAATTACGCCGCGGGATATTCAGTGCACAGACCGTGATCATAAGACATACCGAAAATAGAAAATAGAAAATAGAAAATAGACATTGCATGTGAACGAAGCCTTACTGTTAGCAGTTAACCTAAAGTGCTAAGGGATTTAGTCTGGCTACATTTCAGTGTAGCACGTCTTTAAACCCATCTGAGGCACAATGACAACTTATTTTAGCATAAAACAAGAAATCCCCAAAAGAGAAGAGATACACCATGATTTGTCATCGAAATACGAGCAAAATTGATCCTGAAGGAAAAACTGTCTCGAAACTTATGTTTTTACTCACTTTGATTACCGCACTGTCCAAGCTGCAAACTTATTATTTCTCGGGGCATTTTGGCAGACTTGACGCAATGCGCGTGAAACCTAAATTGACCGTCAACTTTTCCGATAATCACACTGGGATATTTTAACTGTAGGAAACCTGCCAAATATCGCCGTCGAAAATGGCGGTAAAATGTAGGTCACTACGAAGATACCCGAAGGAACGAGGTAGTTAAACTATTCAAAAATCATTAAAAAGATACATAAAACAAGATTACTGGTTGTTTATATTGATTTCTGAGCTAAATGTTATCTAATTATCGCCTTCAATATTAAAATCATTAGAAAAATAATCTGGTGTCGAAATGCATTGTGGGAAATATCTCTACTCGATGACGTCACATCAAAACATTGTAAATGATGGCTGCGGACACAGCTGATGGATTTCTTGGTGCATTTCTCCGTCCCCTTATGGGCGATCTGCAAGCAGAGGAGATCCAGCGACGAGTCAGTTACAAAGAGCAAAAACTAAGGGACTTGTTGAATTCAATAGAGCCTCATGTTATGCACGCACAGAGCATTTTAGTCTGGGAGAAACCAGGTCAATCGGCTGTCATGTTATTGGGAGTAAACGTTGTATTTTGGTAAGTAGTCGGCAGAAAATATTTTGATCGGTGCTTCTTCCGGCTGGAACACCCTGTTAAATGCAATGCATTCAAGTCTTATATGTATAACGTATATTGGAGTGTGTGTGTGTGCAGAGTTAAGGCCCTCTGTTTGACGTGTTAAGATTATGCAATCAAACGTCAATGTATTTGCATCATTGCTGAGATGACAATCTGGATAATGTCATGTAATGATAAATTTATGTCAGCATTTCACATAGAGCATACAGAAACAGATGCAGGGGAAAAGAAAATAATGTTCAAGAAGCACCCCTTGACCCACATACCCACCCACACATTAGCATTTCCTAAAATATTAATCTTTAACTACTAGTATAGGATTGTTTTTTTAACACCCACTTAACAACATTGTATTAATTTCTGAAGCTTAACACCGTAAGCACAATGTTGCACTGCATGCCCCATTCCTTAAAGGGATAACCCTCAGGCCTGCTTCTCATAAAGTTTTAAGATAAGGGCTCAGCTGGATAGCTAGCCCCATACCATAAGTACAGCTGACTTCCAGTAAACAATAGCACTTTTGTTTTCAAAACATGTGTTTGGGATAACCATTTGGCTTATCATTATGATCATGTCTGTGTGTAAAATTGTCAAAATTTCACCCATTCGACTTGGTTTGCTTATACCCTAAAAGACTTAAAAATTGAGATTTCATATTTCAGAGTTGAAAATATTGATAGCTACAAATCTTAGCAGTCTATTCCTAGGTTATCTATTCTTATATCAACCATGATTTTTTTAAAATGATTTTTCATGCTCAATTTTAGGTTGGCTACAACAACATGCATCCGTGCTTTCTGCCTTCTTGCAATCACTGCAATGTTGTTTTTCCTCTTGGATACTTGGCAAAATCATATATGGCCAGAAATAAAAGGTAAGTTGTAAAGGGGGGTGGGGGGGCAATAAGTAAACAAGCTTGTTTTGGACAGGGTGAAGTATTTAAGCACTGATAAGATTTTTTTTTTTTAATTAACATGAGTCTGTCTGTCTTTTGGTTAAAAATGTATGCATCTATAAGAAATTTGCACTTTGAGGAAAAGCAGAGCAGTCTTAGCAACAATGTTTATGTTAACAGTTGCTGAAATAGCTAAAGCAGATATACTTTTCCAGTACAAAACTGTGGTGGAACACAAAATTATGCACAAATGCATGGCTTGTAAATATATAAATTGAATGAATAAATCCTAGTCCTGTATTAAATAAATTAATTTTATAGTAGCATATTAGAATAAAATGAGAACTTTGTGAATTAAGATAAAACCCAGTTTTGATTCTAAGTTATTTTTGAGAACCAGGCTCTTGCAAAATGAAATCACTAGCAGGCTGACCATTATAAAACCTTCAGCTTACTTTTATATTTTTGTCTTTCAGCCCCACCATCCCCAGGAGAAGATACTGACAGGTGATTATAACTTTTAGCTTTTGCTGTTCTGTTTATTAGTATATAATTCAGTTTCTAGCAAATTGTTTATATTGTTATGGGATTTTATTTGTTACTAGTAGGTACATTTTAGTTCATTCCATTGCCCTGTGCAATTTCTTAATTTTCCCGTTGTCAGTTTGCAATATATTATTCATGTTGCCTGTTGAAACCAAATTATACTAGGTTTATGCTTTGTGTTGACTACAGTTAACTACAGTAAAATTCAATATTGGTCAGACACCAGTTCTGTCTTCTTAAGGTGCTGCCAACTGGTGGTAGATATCATAATCATTGCTGTTCTCTTTAGTATCATATGTGCTAACATCTGGTGGTTATGTTGAACTATTTTGGACGTCAAGCAGGGTGAAGATTATTTGAGTTGAACTGGGAAATCCAATAAAATATGCCACTCTGTCTCCATTATTATGAGTTACTTAAAATTTAGAAACTAACAGATCATAATTTTGTCTACTGTATTGGTGTGTCTTTAAGGGGAAAGTGTTTCAGTTTCCAGGGAATGTAAAAATTTTTGATTTATAAAAGTATATTGCCAATAGGCTCGTGGAATTACTCAGATATTTGGGTGTTGTATTTATGCTCCCTTGCCCTCCCATGTTTAAGACCAATGTGTGTCTTCAGTGCTTGCATTTTCAGTGTAGAACAGTTTCATTAGCTATGTTATTGTACATAATAGACTTGTGAAGATTCTTTTGTCTATACTAGTAGCTATTTATATTAGTTTGATCTTACCATCCAATATTTCATCTGCTTGCAGTCAGATTTCATCAGGGAATGAGGTTGTGACAGGTATGACAAGTGATGAAATCTGACTGAAAGCAGATGAAATATTGGATGGTAAGACCAAACTAATATAAATAGCTATAGACAAAAGAATCTTCACAAGTCTATTGCATTTTCAGGCTTTATTAAATGTACACACTCATCGTGTCTATACAAAAAACCATCACCTTTGTCTGCCATGACTGTCAGAGTTGGCATCTTTAAGGTCCCTTTTCATCCCTGAATGCTCATAATGTGCCCTTATCAAATAATATTTTTAATATTTTTTTTTGCTTTCTCTTTTTCAGCTGGGTTTCCGTACAGCCTCACTTAATGAGCGTGCCTGAGATCAGTCGCTACGCAGCGGAAATGTGGGTGACAGCATCAGTTTATTCTCATCTGCTGTGGAATATGAGAAAAAGGCATCCAGGAAAGGTGATATATTGTAAACATTGTCTTTGATGATATTGTTCAAACAAGCATCACTCAGGCTTTTTTTACCTCCGCCAAGGAGGTTATGTTTTCATCCCTGTTTGTTTGTTTGTCATCAACGTAACTCAGAAAGTTATGGACCGAATTTGATGAAATTTTCAGGAACTGTCAGAAGTGGGCCAAGGAACAGATGATTAGTTTTTGGTGGTGATCCAGAACAATAATCAATCAATAAGAAAATTGCTGCCTTGGCAGAGGTCTGGAGCTCTTGAAGTGCTTTTCTAGTTTACCTCGTAGACTATGTAGAGCAAGTCATATTTAAAAATGAGTATTGGATCAACTCAGACTTGAAATATTTTAGTGTCAGGTGTGTTCCATTTAGAACCACTTAAGCCCTCCCCCCTCCAACTCCTCTATCTTTAAAAAAAAAAAAGAGCAGTCGGTGTTCACAATAAGCTTATGAACAACTTGCACCTTCTCTTTTTCATCCTTACTGCCTATTGCAAATCATTTTACCCTAAAAATGTATTATTTGGAGACGTGATATAAAAGTTTTGATTTTAAAAATCGTTCTGACATTTGCACTAGGATAAGTATAAATGATATGGCATATTTTAAAGAAAAGTGCTTACTAGGTAAAATGTACTACCTCTGTTGTGGCAAATTTTCGCTGCTATTCATTATTGCAAATTACTTAATATTTCAGCTGTCTATTTATTTATATATTGACTGTATTCATCTTATTCTGTTCATTTTACCCCTGTAAGTCTACTGAACATTTTAGTGGACCGTTCACATGGAAAGTCTATTTGCTAAAAATCTATTTTCTAATCGCGGTATCTTGTGATCACGGTCTGTGCCCTGAATATCTGTATATATCTGCGGTGTAATTACTGGCAGCGCGAGCCAGTTACTTCTGTGATCACAAGATACCGCGAATAGAAAATAGATTTTTAGAAAATAGACTTTCCATGTGAACGGTCCCATAGACTATATATAGCTAATATTTATTATAATTATTAATATTTTATGTATATATATATGTAATACTATGATTTCATTTCCAGTTTTGTATTCTGATATGTACTGGGAGTTTCTGTTTGGCTGGCATAGGGCACTATATCCCAGGGATAATGATATCTTATATAATAGGTAAGGAGACTTGGTAGCAAAAACCAAAGGATTTCTTAATATAAGAATTTATTCATCAAGTTATAAAAAAATGGAAATCATTTTCCTTTTATGCACTTATCCATTGTCGTCCTAAGAATTATTCTTGATTCTCAGCTTTTTTCTGTTGAGAAATTTATGAAATTTTTTGAACAGAAATGTGTCATCCAATGTTTGTCTGTTGATACTTTGCAAAAAAAAAAAAAAAAACATAAAAATCATAAGTTGAGTTTATGATAGATACTCTTCTTGTATTTAACTAAAGTATTTTGCCAGGCTATTAAGGTTATCAATACCTCGAACCATTTAGCTACTGTAGTTAACACGTGAAAAGAGCCCAAGATATGCATTCTTCATTTGCCATTAATAAATTAATTAATTGAATAAGAATATGATTCCTTTTCATATTCAGTGATGAGCATTTTGCTTTGGCCATGTGTGGTTTACCATAACTTGCTACAAAAATTCTATATACACATTGAGCCGATGATGATGAAGATGGAATATAAATTGAAAATTAGGAGGAGAAAAACTCGGAAAAGTAGGTTCAAAATTTGATTTTATGTTGGATTTTCTTGAAATGTTTATTAATATTATTTATTATATTTTGTTGTGTAATATTCTTGTTAATAATATGCTTGTTAAGTATATGTCTTGAACACATTCAATTTTACCTTTAAATATTCAATATTACTTTCAAGTTGTTGCAGGAGGCTTTTAAATTAAATATGTTAGTAAGTTATGAAGGCAAGTATTTTCAGCCCTGATCATTTGATAATAATGATTGAATCATGTACACATTTGGGTATTGGATATGATCTTCTACAGGCAAAACAAACTTGTTTTAATTAATGCAGGTATTTATTATTTATTTATCTATTTATTTTCTTATGATTTATTCTTTTAGGTCGTACAAAATCGCCTGTTGATCCCTCAAAGGATCGAGCAGAGACGGACAGTGACAGTGATATAGATGCTTTTACGCCAACCACTGATCCAGAAATAACAGCAGCACTCGCCAGGGCTATCACAGACAGTGAGGATGAGACGTCTTCGCCGTCAGTTCTCACTCCGAGGCTGTCGCGGGAGCCATCCTTTGCCAATAGTGACACAGATGGTAATGATAAGGATTTTCCTGACAAATCAACATTTTACTCAAACAAAAAAAAAAAAAATGGATTAATTAATTAAAAAAAGATTTCTCCTACTCACAAATAACAGGGTGTTTCAATGTCCTGGAACCCAGTATTATGATAATGATTTATTACTGAGGCAAGAAACTGAGACAAGATTACATTTCCTGGAAGCTGATATAGTAACATTAAACAAAACATTAATTTGATGTCTCTAGGATGGATTTTTTTATACATGGGTCCCTTTGTATGATGAGACACTCTGTATCTAATTTTATTGTCATTTAAATTATGTTATGTTTTTTCCAGAGGTAGAAAGAGACAGAACCATCCACGAGTCTTCACTCTTGCATGGTTTACAACAGATGCCTGCATTTGATGACAACAGCGTGGACGAGTCTTTGTCAGTCGGGTTACACTTTACCCCTAGAGATGGCGCTGCTGTGGATACTATTGGTGCTGGGCAGACGCAAACCACCGCAGCAGCTGCAGCAGCCATGACCTTTATTTCATCACATTTCAATCACGAAGAATCGGATGATGATGAAATTGGAGGTTCAATTGCTCAGGGACTAGTTTTCCCAGATATCGACGCCGCAGATTTATCGGACCGATCTTCGCCAGTTGGAGATGATGCTCTCATGGACGATGGTGACCATTCACCACATGAAGCAGACGTCAGTGAGGACGAGGTAGACAGTAATGTGGAAACTGCAAGTCATGCTAAGGAGAAGGTCCGCAGCAAACATGTCGCTCAGTCAGGATTGGTTGGAAAAGCTGGCGACATGGTTGGCAGGACTTTCAGCAGTGTTGCGTCCAGTGCTTGGGCGGGACTAAGTCGCCTCGGAGGAACTGTTCTTGATGCCACGACTGGTTCGAAGGGAACAAAAGCGAAGCCTGCAGAGGCCATGTCCAGAGAAAGTTCGAATTCAGATCTGGGTGACTTTGAAATTTTAGATGAGATGGACTTGGATAATTATGAGGAAGAAAAAAACAAATAACCTCATGTTTTAGATAATGAGGATTTTTTTCTCTCATAAGTCTTTTATCACTGGAGGATCCAGGATTTTGTTAGGGGGAGAGGGAGATAGAAATAGAAAATTATGCCTCACCTCACTGAGCAGAAAAATTTTAAAAAATAACAGACCATGACAAATTTCATTGATAATGTATAGGGCATGGGGGTGGAATAATTATTTGGTCATGTCTGGTTTTACTTGGGAAATTCATATTTGAAAGAGGCAGAAGGTGTACCCCAGATGCTGTGTGTGTGAATGGGAGGGCCTGGTGGGGGGGATGTACCAGCTTTGCCTTCACCCCATGCCCACCCCCCTCTTGTCCCAGTTTTGCAAAAAAAAATAATAATAATTGAGTCAGTTTCGTGGCTTAGCTGACAATGATGTCCATGAGAGTGCTGTAACACCTTTTCTGATAGGGTAAGATGTAATGTTGGTAACAAAGATACCACTTGAACTGACTTGGAAGTCTTTTAAGTGAAAGTTGGCCCTGGATCCACTGCTGATGTTATAACCCAGTAGGCATCGTTTTAAGGGTGATGTGGGAGAAAGTGTTTCTGAGGCAGTTTATATTGTGATGCGATCATTATGTTTAACACTTATTTTATTATTTTACATCACCAAAATATAAAGAAAAAAAGGACTTAGGTGGGGTTTTGTTTCATGGCTAAAACTTGTCTTATTTAGGGCAATATATTTTGTCTGATTATTTATTTATTGGTTTTAATTTGCTATTTCAGGGGGGTATACTATAAATGTGATAAAATTGACCTTGGAATACACATATTTTTCTTTTTTTAATGAAAAAAAATATTTTTCTCATATTTGTACCTTATGTTGGGCTGACGTTTGACTTCATGTACCTTTTAAGTAAGAAAATAGAAAGACTTGAAGCAGTTTGTTTAGATTAGCAAAAGTGATGTATGGATTTTTAACATTTTAATGGTTGCATAAGATGTAATATCTCCCTACATACATTATATGTAAGCTAAAATGTTCATGTAATAGTTATGAAAGTAAAGTAATATTCTAATACTATCAAATAGAAAAAACAGTTTTAAAAACTGAATAACTGAAAAGTCTATTAATTCTAAGTATTTCTAAAATCACCCATGTATGCTTGTATGAGAAACTTTGAAGATGATGTCAAACACTGTAGGAATTTTTGTACAACCTTTCACTATCTGCAAGCCAAAAATTGGCACGAGTGCAAATAATTCCCCCCCCCCCCCCCCGGCCCTTTAAATCTATTATTATTATTATAAAAATCTAACTATAGAACTTTTATTTACTTTTTATGTTTACTTCTGCCCAAATGAACATTCTGGAGAACTTCTATTTTACATTTTAAATATTACCTGTAGCACAATAGTAAATATAACATTTTGAAATATTGGTAGTAACAGCATTAAAGCAAGTGTGAAGAACAACAGAATTGCTCAGATATGTTATTTCGGACTTTAAAAGCACTAGGCAAAAAAAGATGCAAAATCATGTTATGTGGTAAAATAAGGGAATGTATTAGTTTTATTATTTTCTAATTCCTAATCCTACCTACGTTTAGGGTGTTATTCTTGTCTCATGGCCTAGTAACTACCCCAATTTTTGTAAATCTTTGGAAGCTCAACTTTTTTCTCCAGAATCTGATGGTGCAAAAAAAATCGAGTTATCAGTGACCTTGAAAACCAATTTTTTTTAACTACTTAACTTATTCTGAAAGGGCGGATCTACAAATATTGTAATGTTTGAGTTTGTTTGGTGAAGTATATTACTTCCTCTGTCTTATTTATTACGTATTATCCTCTGGGTATTGAGTGGCATTTTATATCATTATACATGTAACAAAGGTGTGTATTTGAATTGTGTTAAATATGTAAAAAAAAAAAATTATTAATTATACCAGTAGTTGGTAAATATTTAAGGAGATTAGACGCTTGCCACATGTTTGTGTAAAGTCTGGCTAATAAATATAACGAATGATATTTATCTTTTTTAACTGCTTGAAAGTTGGGAGTTTATTGTGTACCGTCTACAACTAAAAGATAAAATACTGTATACCTGTTTGAAAATGTCCCGAAGACTTTTTCTGTCAAAATAAAATGGAAAATTACCAAAATGTGATGAAAACTATTATACTGATTAAACCACTATGTTCTAGTATAAATGGTGAGCACATTATAAGCAGAATACAAGTTGGTATACTTCCTGGAAAATGAATTATTAAATGTAGGTGGCTACAACATAATTATGGTAATTAATGCTCTCTATTTCTGTTCTGAATTGTTCCTGTTTTTCTGGGAGAGCTTTAAAGGTTTAATTGATGAATTATGCGACCAATCCTTGAAATATCAACTTCTCTCTGACAAAATTAAAGTGGAAGTAAAGGTTTAATTCCATTTAAACCAAATGATGAAATATGCACCAGTCCTTGGAATATCTACTTCTCTCTGACAAAATTAAAGCGGAAGTAAAGGTTTCATTCCATTTAAACCAAATGATGAAATATGCATCAATCCTTAGAATATCTACATCTCTCTAACAAAATTAAAGCGGAAGCAATTTCCCTAAAACCTATTTCATGTCATACATCAAACAAAACTATTCAGAGTATGAGTGTAATAGATAGGCCTACGTTACCAGAAAGCGTATAAAATAGATGCGTCCTCTTCTCAATGTTTATTAGAAACAGAATGTTAGCGAATAATAACATCTTGCTGAGATGGTGCCAACTCACCGGCTCAGCGTATCCACCCGTTCTTATTCCTTTCTGGAACAATTCAAAATAGTGTGTGTGTGTGTGTGTGTGTGTGTGTGTGTGTGTGTGTCATTTTAGCAACGTGGACCAAAGAATTAGCAGCATGACTGGCCCTTTAAGTCATCGGTACGGATATCCTCGATATTTTTTCTTCCTGCAGTTTTGGTTGATGTGAAAGCTCCTAACAATTTTATTTAACTTATTTTTGCTATATCATGAAATTTAATTTACAATTATTTAGTTATTTTGTATCATATTAATCTGTTATTAACTACTACGTTTATTTATTTATTCATTTGATTATTTATCTACTATAATTCTACTTTCGCTTATTCGAATTTAGTTGGCTCTCTGACTACTACGTGAATGAGTTTCCAACTCATATGGTCGCCTCCCCAATTTTATATATTGCTCAGGTAAAAATAAAGAAAGAAAAATTCCTGATTTTACTACTCGTCTCTTCGTTCAATTCATGTATTAATCAAAATAACCAAAATTCAGCAACTCTGTTTGTAATGGTAAAAGCTTAGATCTATGTTTTCCGTAAACACTCACTAAAACTTGCGATACTGAGAATTGTCTTACGACCTAAACATCTTCACCATTTCGTCGTGGCAGGAAGTGTTGCCGGAAGAACAGCTGGAGATGGGTCCTCTGACTGCAAACAGCAGCGTCCGCAATATTGTTGGCAATGGCTAGGAGACTGCAGTAAACCAGCAGCTGCTTCAATACTTCCCTCAGGTTTAATGTGTTAATTTGAAGTAGCTGACTCTTTGAAACAAACTGTTTACTCTACTACAAATTTATTCGAACGTATGTCTTTACTCGGAACGTCGTGTCGATTTCACTTAATGAAATTGAATATTTAAGATAATCAATAGAAATAATCATTCAAATCCAAGTTTTTCCTTTCTCTTTTAGATATGCAACTTATTATATATATTGTTTCTGTCGGTTTCATGTAGATTAAATTAATTTTATATGCTTAAAATAACAAATAAGTAGTATCTGGTTTAAAGACCATAGTCTTTTGTTAATACAACAACTGACTTAAAAAATATATCGAAAAACTATATCGGAAATTGTTCATTTTCTGAATTTTCGAACTGACCCGGGCATATTTGATAAATCCGATACCGATAGTGCTTGGAGTACCGAGCGAGACTATGCAATGACACGTTGAATCTACTGCAGATTAATTTATATTAAAAACTAGGGTCCTTCTGTTGATCCTTGGGGCTCTTGCTTTTTAATTGGCACATACTTTTTCTCTGTAAAAAAAAACTGATAACAAGTTTAACTCAGAATTTATTGCCTGCTGAAGGGCCCAGAAAAAAAAAGGTATTTTAGAGGGCGAATGGTGCCATTTGCTACGGTTTAGAACAATGATTCAGCTAGTCAAAATTATAATTTTAAGAGGGCCAGATATCGAATCCGCCACTGGTGTGTGTGTGTGTGTGTGTGTGTGTGTGTGTGTGTGTGGCCAACTAAATTTAATTTTCGTAATACAAAAAAAGCTAACATGAAAACCCATTTTCATTTTATTCAAATATCCATCAATCCTTTTGATTCTCAATCAAAGTTCACACTCGTAAGTGGAAACTCCTTTACCCACACCCATGAATATTTAAAATGAAATTTACATGCGTGCACTTTTGTTAGAATGAAGGCCGAAAAAAATAACAACCAAAATTTATATTAAAATGTCAATTGAAAAGCGCAGCAAGAAGCTGTTGTCCCGTATGACTGGTGTGTAGCTCCTGTATTTCAGCATTGTTTTCTTTTTAATATATTCGCCGTAAATAAATAATGAATTAATTTATTAAAAAACCGAAATCAAAATCTTTCACGCAGCGATGTTACAAAATATAAGTAGCTCATTTGACCAATTATCGAAAAGCACTTAATATGCGCTACACCTTTGCATAGCAAAATAATAATAATAATAACTTTCCTGAATATTTCAGCAAGTTTCCCTCAAACATCGTGTGTATCCTGTGCAAAAATGTTGAGAAAATTAAAGATCCATAATCCATAATTCCGTTTTTTGAGTTCTAAATGTAAAATTCTATTTCCATCGTCAAGAATGAAATTCACTAGTCCAGTCTCCTTAATATTAAAAGCAACCCATAAATGAAATTAAAACGCTACAAAGCACAGCGTTATCGTTAGTGGATCCAGTATTACTGAACACTTTTCTCCTGTCAAAAGTAATAGTTTTTTTTAAAAAAGGCACGCTGGAAATGGAAAGCATGGCGAAAATGGCTTGTTCTTCCTTGTTTCTTTTTGATAGCAACGAAGCGTCTATTATCCTACACATATGCGTCGAGTCGTAGCTTTTCGATCTGGATTATTCTTGAAGTCGACCTTATATTGGTCTTTATTTAGGTCTGGAATCATTCTGACGTGACGGGGCCCTTTGTCATTGGCCCCATTCAGAAAAGAAGACCCGAGTATCAACTGATCCAAGGATCAAACATGGTGGACCCTACATGAATGGAAGACCGCTTAATCCTGTAATAGTCTCTCCGCCTCTCACACACCTCCCCGCGAGTCCGGTCGAATGGAGTCAAGATTTAATTACAGTGCCCCGGCGTAGAGCCCATTAAAGAATCAGTTGATACTCGAATCTTTTATTCTGAATGGCCCCATTGAATGCACAAAGAGAGGTCCCCTAGCCTGTGTGTCGCAGCTTTAAGGGTATGAGCACAGGTATCGAATTTCCAAATCGTGACATATGGGGTCATCCCCAGGGGTCCAGTTGGGGTCGTTTTCCACGTTCCTGCAGACAATGCCGAAGGTGGAGCACGGTATGTAGAACTTCAGGCCGCTGGAGTCCCAGGGGTGTTTTGTCTTAACCAGACGGCACTCTGCTTTGAGAGGCTCAGACACGATCCCGGAGTGATCGCACTGGAAAGAATGATGGAAAATTTTGATTACGCCGTGATATTATTATTATTATTATTATTATTATTATTATTATTATTATTTCTGAACATTGCATCAAAATTTCTCAGGGCTGTGCGTGAATGATTCACACAGTTATTCAATTTATAACACTTTCCTTTTTTTTTTAATATTATCAAACCTAAATAAGATATCTCTAGCATACAGGTTAAGTAAAAAAATACGAGAAGACCCGACGCACCAGGATTTACAACGTGAGAAAAAAATAGTAAATTCATTACGACGCCCTTTAGTTATGTTTACTTATCACGTATATCTGTCATTTCTGTAATTTATCTGGGAGAATTCGGTACATGTACATCTACTTTCAATCGTATGATATAAGAGTCGGAATCCAGACGATAACTGTAACACATTAAAACTAGTTGCGTTACATGTGACAGCAAAACATTTTTTCGTGTCGTTTGTGACATTAGATAGTAATAGTTTTCGAAAGCAGTTCCAAGTAAAGTGGTAAAATATAAGGACCCATGCTTACATTGTCACTGTAATTTACTGGATCTACTTTCTAAAACTAAATGTGTCCCTACACAGTCGCATCCAACAATGCAACAAACTTGCAGTCACATCAAACACAACTAGTCGCTGTTTCACGAATGCAGAAATTCAAGAATAATCCAGATTAGTCCTTAATTTACAATTCACCCCCGATAAAATGGAGGCTTCGTTGATATCAAAGAGAAACTAAGAGGAACAAGCCATCTCCGCCATGCATTTCATTACCGACGTGCCTTTTGATCTATTGGGCCTACTTTTGATACAAAGAATGTGTTCAGTAAGACTGTTACCACTACCGCCGTACTTTGGGGCGTTTTAATTCACTAATTGATTTTTTTTATATATGAGTCACTTTCAATATAAATATGGAGACTGGACTACTAAATTTCATTCGCAACGATAAAAGTAGAATACTGGGTCAGACGAACCCATCTCTGCGGAGATTCTCTCTAAAGTGCCTCATTTACCACCCAGCTGCTTGAGGGGGCATGTCAGACATTAAAGCTGATTACACTAGCGAGAATCCCTTCAGAGATAGATCGATCCTGTTGGTACGATAACTTGCAGGCCCGTAGCCAGCAAATTCAAAAGGGGGGTTCTTTTTCTGAAAAAGTGGACCTTTTTCAATGAAACTTATGTGTACCTAGATCAAATTTTACCCAAAATGAACCTTTTCCTGACAAAAGGGACGGTTCTTTCGAACCCCCGACCCCCCCCCCCACCCCCGGCTACGGGCCTGAGTCTTGAATGTGAATGCTCCCCGACTCACCGGCGTCTCGTCCACCTCCCAATCCCCGTCCTTGGACGGATCGTCTGTGTCTATCCATTCTGTCCAATACTGACCTGAAAGACGGTGATTTTTATTAATAAGTCACCTCAAAGAGGATTAATAAGTCACCTCAAAGAGGATTAATAAGTCACCTCAAAGAGGATTAATAAGTCACCTCATAGAGGATTAATAAGTCACCTCAAAGAGGATTAATAAGTCACCTCAAAGAGGTGCAAGATAAACTTTGTACATGCGCAAACACACACCATTTATTCAATCATGGCCGTAGTGCAAAAAAACAGAATAATTGAAATATAAGGAGCCATGCTTACATTCTCACTTTAAGTTACAACTCGCAGTGAACATTTGAAATGTTAATTAATACAACTTTGGCAATTAACAAGGTTTAAATTCTTGTTAAGGCTAAAAAAATAATAAATTGGTATCGCTTTACATAGTATGAAATACCACAAACAATACTACGAGCTCTTAAACACACCTTTAAGCAAGACAAAAACGCGTAATTCAATGGTTTAATGTGTCTCTTTAAGAAGACAATAATTTATTTACTTACATGGGAAATTGTTACACGAGCGTATCTCAGTGGTTCTTCCGATACACACGCTTCCAGCTGGTAGGCACATCCGGGTCCTTGTTTGTCTTCCTCCGCCACATTTGGCGTCACATTCTGACCATTCCGACCACTCACCAAAGTAAGGGCCTTTAAAGGAAACGAAACAGAATATATTGAGACGATAATTCAGTTTAAAGATATTACTCGATTCCTACGAAATTTCATAAGAAATAACTGAAATTGTGGAATAGACCAGAATTGTTTTCAAACTCCAAGCGCCATTTTTAGTATTGTGAAATAGTATTTTCGTGGTCACTTCATGCTTCCTTAAAAGCATGTTTTGTAATAACTGTATAGACATGTTTCTGATATATTTAGGAATGTCCACGTGCGTAAAGGAGCATGCAAAAGAGTGCGATACCAGCAACCATAAAATAACAGCGCTGTCGGTGATTGTGGTTATTGTAAGCATAATCTTATGCACACTACTTACATTCATGAGTGTTACACGGCATCTGCTGTCTAGACGGACCGAAGCAGTCGTTGCCGCCCACGCATTTCCGGACACGAAAAGTCGTTCCTCCACCGCACGTGGCACTGCACGGTTCCCATGGCTCCCATTCGCTCCAGGTGCCACCTGGTGATAGAAAACAACACTAAGTTACGGTTGTTTAACACAGACGAGAAGGATTGAAATGGTTTTTCATAAAATGTTCTTTTTATGTGTTTAAATGATCAATAATTTATTTAATTAGTTTTAATTGTACTTTCACAAGTTATAATCTCATATAACCTGTAGTAGGGTGAGTTTTATTTTTAAACGTGAGATGTTAATCAAATTATTATTATTATTATTATCAATCGATACAGAAGTCAACGGTCACACCCTATAGTACATGCGGCAATGTCACCCTGTAAGGACGCGTTTGTCATTGTCATCAGTTAAGCGTCCTTGTTTTGTCACCATTGCATATGGTGACCACAAAGAGGCACGAGGAAATACTATCATTAACTGCGTCATCACTAAGCAACAGGCTCGTGCACGTTATATATGTAAGGAGAGGCATATATTTTGTGCCATGCATCCAAAATGAAAACAATCCTGTGTTGCCTGACGCCAGTTTTCGATTAAGCTTTAATGGTATGATCTGACGTCGCAACATTTTTGAAACATGTACAGAAATTATTTATGGTTGTGTGCACGTTGTTTATCAAATTTAAAACGAGGACTTTAGAGACGGGTTATGCTCTTTTAGGTCATAGATTAAGAAAACAGTACCCAAAAAACACTTCTCTGAATTGCAACAACAAAAGAATATCAATCTGTAAACATGTACGAGTACAAGTGTATCATGCCTCTAATAGGAACAAGGATAAAATTCTGACTTCATGTTCATATATTTTGGGTAATTCTGTGCATATTTCTCTTGTACTGTTAGACTTTGAGAGAATTTCTTTGCACAGAACCGAGGTCCTCATTCAGCTGGCCTCTGATAAAAAGAACTTGTGTATAATGGTTAACGCAAAATTATATGTTGATCACAAAAATATGTAAAAAAAATGGTCAACTGTACTCGATATACTGCTAGTAAATTCGACCATTTAAATTCCTTTAATTTCTATGTGTTTTTGTTTTATTGGGGAGCAAAACAAGCACCGGTTCTTTTAACATAACCACGGTATAATAATAATAATAATAATAATAATAATAATAATAATAATAATTGAATACTATATAAACAATATATGTATTTGCAGTGGTTATGTATACTTACACGGTCTTAAGAAACAGATACGATATTTCTTGGTGGTATTGCAGTATAATTCAATATGGTCAAGCCTTCGACACGACTTCACCTCCTGAAACGTGGACCCACGGCCGCAGGTGACCGAGCAACGGCTCCAGTCACCCTCCGCCGAGACCAGGATACCGACCTCGCCGCCCGCGCCGCCGCTGTGTGCCAGACCTTCGTCATTCACGCATTCCATGGGGTTATGTCTGAACAACACGCATGGATCGGAGTTGTCGGGGTGCTCTGGTGTCTGGAATATTACCGTAGAAGTCTTGTGCAGCTAATTGACTAGTTGTTGATCTCTTTTTTTTTACTGAAAAGCTTGTTCTCCAGTAAACAAAAGAATGGTGGAGGGCAAGCTCTTTAGTAAATCAAAGTCAACATCTAATCATTTTACTGCAAAAGCCCTGTGGTCAGATTTCAAAAATCTAATGCAAAAAGACTGTTTCAGAAATTAACTTCAAAGTCTGAAGTCAGTCTAATTTTTAGACCCACATATTTAAAATTCTATTCTGATTATAGAAATAATAAATCAAACGTGTACGTAGTATGAAAATACAGATAACTCCTAAAGTGAAGTAATGAAAAGAAACTCCTATCATACACACACACATACCCACACGCGCGCATTTATATTCTCCCTTATATGTCTACAGAATATATTTTGTTAAATAATAATAATAATAATAATAATAATAATAATAATAATAATAATACAATGAAAGTTACTAGTTGAAAAGCCGAAAAACAATGTTTGAAAGTCAAAAATCTATTTTTCTTTAAAAAATATTGGCAACCAAATTCAGACCCACATTTCAGTCTTCTTTGATCAAAGATAAATGAGTGGTAGTCCAATTAAATGAAATATTTCTTTTGCCTAGAAACGAGAAAGACTTTTCAGACCAGTGCTAACTTTAGTTGAGTGGACTATTGAGGATTAACATTGAACCTTAAAGTTAACTTAACCAAGGAAACCTCTTTGCCTTAACAGAAAACTAAATTTTGTTCTAAAATTTTGCGTTTAAGTTATTTTGTGAAAACGGTCCCCTTGGTAAATAGTGTTAATGACATGGTGGAATTCAACGAAACCCTTTCGAATGAACAGGAATGAGACAAAGTTATAACAGAGTGTTTAAATGCCTTCAACATTACAACAAATTGTCAAAAATGAAATACCTGAGGAACAGTCTTAAGGACAAATCAAAATGTATCAATGTGTTTGGATATGAAGTATGGCGCAAGTTAGATTTCAAAATTTAAGTAAAGTACTTCATCCACAAAAACAATGCACGCAGGAAATTTCTAAAATGCCAACATAATTAATTGTCCAGTTACCTTCCAAACAACCAACAACCTTGCTATGCATTAAGGGAAAAGAGTATTAAATAGATGAATTAAATACTTAATTCATTGATGATGTTACAAATAAATAAGTACAGTTAATATTCAAACAATTATTATAAGAAAAGATTAAATAAATGAATGAATAAGTTAATAAATAAAAAATAAGATAACAAAAAATATAGCTAAAACAAAAGAGAATAAATAAATAAATAAATAAATAAATAAATAAATGAAATAACATACCTCTCCGTAAAGTTTTGGCAGTTTGGTACCATTGGCACAGGGGTGCATGGCCGCGTGGAGCCGTCCCGGGTACTCACACTGGTAAAACAGGCACAGGTTCACCGTGTCACGGATATATTGGCCATGGTATTGACATTTATGAACTGAAATATACACATGACATAATAAATGTACGTGTTTAATAATGAAGAATGAGTCTATTTGTATTTATGGTTTTTTAGCTCGGCGGGTATAATTGCGTTGTGGTATTTGACCAAAAACAGGGTATGAAGTATTGTTTATGCTTCCCATCTTTTAAAAAANTTCATGCTTCCCATCTTTTAAAAAATTTTCATCCTACTTATTGGGTATATCCTTCACTTTGACATTTTTCAGTTACACTGATATCAAGTGAGCTTCTTCTGCACATATACATGTATAGGTGGATCTGCTAATAAATTGAAATTGAAAGATTACAGCCGATAAACAAAAGAAGTTCGCTTTTCCGCGTGGCGGGGAAACGTGTGTTCGAATACTATCGTCAAACCGAATGTGACAACAATTTCAATTCCATTCTGAATATCAAGGTATTTAGCATTTGACCATGGTTTAAGAATCATAAAAAGTGAAATGATTTCATGGGTTTTTGAACCAAAAGAAAACCGAACATTAATCACCCTGAATGACATCTCTTTCCAAAAGCGCGAAGAATAGACATTTTTGAAAAGTACTCCATCTTCGACAAACGGCTGATTGTTTTGTCTCACAAAGGGATATCCGCGGTTGAGTAAGGACTTAAAGGTGCCATTTAAACCACGCTTACTAACTTAATTGTCGCTTGATAGGCCATTCAGGCGTTTATTGCCACCGTTATTACAACTTCGGATATTAAAAACTATAACATCAAAGGCGCCAAAACGGCATTATTGTATGTAACAATAGGTATTAACAGGTCAAAATTAATTGTGATTTATTTAACAAACTTTAAATGAACTGAAATGTCTGAGGATTAAAAAAAGGAAAGTACCAGTCCAATTCGTAGACTATAAAGTGTCTTCATGTGTTGTGTTGAGCCGCTTACTAAAACTTCTCTCACTCGTGACATTGAAACATTTATCTTTGGTTTTCAGTTTCAATTATCTATTCGACAATAATGTATTATATAAAAAAACACTTACTTGGTTCTGACTGTGCTACTAAGAATAATCCCAATGTTATACAAACTGCAGCAGTCCAATGTAATCCAAACATTTCAACGTTTCACTATATTTGACTAGACTCCTTTTGTTGGTGTACTCCTTGTAACGTTGCACAATATCCCCTGTTTCTAACGCTGTTCTAAATCATGGACATTGTCAACAAGCCTTTTTGTCTTGTGATTTACAATGGGCGGTCTTGTCACGGGATTTTCGCGGGCCTCTCACGATATTCATATCGCGCCAGTACTTGGGTTTATTTATTTATACTTTCATATTATGCTCCCATTTGTCAAGAAAATGGCCTTCTGCACAATGCGAGTTTGCGTTAAAATATACGAAGCAAAATGGAGACCAAATTTAATATGAGTTCAACAAGAAAGTGACAAAGGGAACTCATGAATATAAACAATAAAAGAATTGCGCTTAGGTCTGGTTCTTTCAAAAGTGGGATTGTTCTATTAATAATTAAAAATCGCAGTCCTTCATATGAAGTCGAGGACCGAGACCAAAATAGGCCTAGTCAAGTGTTTACTCCACTCAACAAGAATATACATCAAGGGAGATGATAGACTGACGCCTGTTTAAACATGACTTAATTTCATAATATTATTACACATATCCGTTTTTTAATGGTATTTTTTCTAGACGTACAGGAATCTCTGTGAAAATATTTTGAAAGTCAAATTCATGCGCGTAATCAAATTTCTTTTTATTTGGTATCAATGAATAAATTGATGATGATAAATTAAAGGAAGTGTTTTAACATTATAGACTATTAATAAATATATATGCTTCTCAGAGTCGTGAATCCTTTTTTAAGTCTTTGAAGATTATTAAAATAAATCAGTTTTATATGGTCCATACCACCCTTAGAACGTCCCCATATCTCGATGAAATTATGGTATTGTGGACAGATTATTTATTTATTTATTTATTTATTTATTTATTTATTTATTATCTTTTTTGGGGGGAATATGATAATCTTCTTTGCCATTTTTATTCAAATTTACCAAGTTTACAACACAAAAATTGCATTGAATGCATAACTTCAGTGACATACGGGATCGTGTATTTAGTCTCATAATGTATCGCTTGCATGAACTTTGGTATTCCCAATCGAAATTCAACAGTTTATTTTAAAATGCGTTCAGACGGTGTTTGAATAAATGAAAGGTATGATAATAACGTCAGCAATTTAAGAAAAAGTGCATTGCGAGACAACAAAGCGCCCTCTGTGCGTTAATTTTAGATAAATAACTGCAGTCCATTTCTTTGAACCGGTGATGGGGAGCTGGCATACTTTTCATGTGAAATTCTAAGCAGTCTTTAAAGACACATTATTTAACTGTCAATTTCATACACTCACCACACGCGCAGCAGTAATTCATTCGTTCACATGGAGAAACTATGAACGAGAACGCCTCCTTATGTAGATCTTACTTACCAATGCCGACACATAATGAAAAAAACCTACGAGCAATGCGTTTACTATCATCATCACTCTACTGTTAGAAAGCGTAGAACCTGGAAATCTAGGTCCAATTTAATAATAATAATAATGATAATAATAATAATAATAATAATAATAATTTTATCATTACTACTTTTATAAGCATGTGTTGTATTTAAATGCAGTAGGATTGTATAATCACCAGAAAAATTATAAGAGTTCCAGGTGAAGTTCTATAAAAGTTTAACTGGTAGGCCTACGTATAACCAACAATTAAACAGGTACCAATAATACATGTTTAATCTAGCACTTCATGATCTGAACGTTTTACTCTTGTTATTGCATCCTAATTCAATTTATGAACTATTTCATCAGACAAAACTTACTGGATATGACCGCAATGTTAAACCCCGTTCTCATACCTAGATCGATCTAGCAGGATCGATCCAATTCTCGCTAAATTACATTCATCTTAAGCGGCACGCCTACTGAAGCTGTTAGGGGATAATTAGCCATCGTTAAGTAGCTTCAGTAAGCGTGCCAGGCCTCTAAGCCGCTTAATCTGCATGCAATTCAGCGAGAATCCCCTCGGAGATGGGTCGATCCTGCTAGATCGATCTAGGTATGGGAATGGGGTCTAAGGCGTGGTGCTAGGCAACGGTTCCAGTATACACAGCAATGCTTTGACTCAATATTAACGGAGTGTCGCCCGCCTACGTGTCAGATGTTTTTGATAGAAATTAGAAATTCTTTTTATAACAATTTTGCGCTTAGCCATTGCGAATAAAAGAGACAGTGTAACAAACCTTTTATAGATACAAGGCTTTTAATGTTTATGTCCCAAAATTGTGGACCGGGCTGCCTCTTTATATAAGATCTAAAAGTCATTTTTGAAGACAGTTTTGAAGTCTTTTTTTAAAACTCATCTTTTTAAAGTTTTTATGATTTATTTTTTAAACTTTTTGTAGTAAGTTTGTATTTTAGGGCTGCTACTCTTCAGAATGTTCATACTGTTATTGTTTTAACACTTAAAAGTGCATGTAAGA